AGTAAGTAGAAAGCTGGCACGAGTCCCACCTGAAAGGCTTTCACTTCAGAAGTGGGCTTTCCTGAACTGGTTTAAAACAAACACCTCACCTCCACACACAAAATCCCAAATCCCAGCATTTAAATACAGAAGCCCTCCCAGCTACAAGAGAAATAGTGGCATAGCTCAAAGTCACAACAAGGAGACACAGAACAAACATGATAAAAGGTGCAAGAATGAAGCTTCCAGATGAACAGAGCTCACTCCCTAGCAAGGAACTAGACAGCGAAATAAATGAAAAAGACAGAATTTAGAAGGTGAAATATTTATAGTTGCCCTCTTTTCAACTCTCTCAGCAAAGCTCCAAGGACCACAAAGCTTGCCTTTCATTAGGCTCTGCTAGTACACTAATGGGCACATTCAGAATCTGCCATCTCCCATCCATTTCCTATTACAGAGCATGACAGCTACAGAGCTACACGAGTCCTAGCCACGGAAAGGTTTGGAAGTCCACCTAGTTGGAGTATCATATGGAGAACTAGGACGCTGCACCTAAACCTTTTCTTAAGCAAAGGATAATGTTAAGTTTTCTGCAAGAAAGACACAGACATATGTTCTATATCTTCCTTAGTAAATGGGAGAAAGAATGATAAATTAAGAAATCAGAGTTTAAGAATCAAGACATAAACATTTTACAAAATTGTAATCTGACTGTTACAATTACAAATACTGACAATAACATGTTTTGCACTCATTTCACAAAAAAAAGACTTCCAGACCGCCACTGGTCATTAGATCACAAGTTGAACAATTAGCCCAGAGCACAGCCAGCATACGCAGAATGAAATACGGTTGAAGGCATGTAGTTCAAAATTTTTCAGAAGTGAAAAAGGAAAAAAAAAAAAAAAACCACCTCACAGCTGTAGATGAACACATACAACACAGGCAAAAACAAGCTTGGAAACTCATAGCACAGACTGCATTATCTCTGAAAGCCAGAAGGCCATGAAAAATGTGATGAAACAGAAATGGTTTTGCTGCAGCCCAGCTCAGCAAGGGCTTTATGCAGCAGCATTGAGTTCCCATTTACTGTGCAGCTGCACAATAGCGCTCATGTTCTGGAAGGAGGTTGGCAAGAATTTAACTACACATCCTAACAGAACACCAGTGGCTTGCATTAAATCTAATAATATGGCCTGGTAAGGGGAAGTGCAAGCTGGCTTGCATCCCAAACTATAATAAAGGCCTTTTGCAGATAGGCGGTCCAGACAATGTCTCCCTTTCCAAGCCTAGCACTCACCACAGAAATTAATGGAGCTGGGAAATCCAAGCTGAGCCTTTCAGGTGCCTGCAATACAGTTTACCCTGTGTCATAACTCTGGCTGCAAAACTGTTTTCTGGAAAGCTCTGGAACAAAGCCAAGCTTGTCAGCCTTATGGTAGAATTAATCTCTCCTACAAAGCTTTGCCCCACTCCAAGAGCGTTACCAATAAACCATACACCTGGTTACCATAAGAAGCACAAGTGTTTTTCTTGCTTCTCTGCAATTCAGTTCAGAGCCTAAGTATTAAAGAGATAGGAGACATATCTATGCCATGGTGCAGCATCACGGAAGCACATCCAAGCTATCTCAGATCCAGCTGCGGCAAAATGCCCCTGTCAGCACAGCAGCATGACCAAATTAATTTAACTTGCTAAGCTGGGCTAAACTATCCCAGAGGGAGAGTGCTGTACTGATGTGACTATACTGCAGTCTCTGTACCTTTGGGGAGCACTGCCTTCACATTGCATAGATTCACCTTTGGAAGTACCATGCCTAGGTACCAGGGAAAGAAGAGCAGTGCTCTCTAGCACAGCTATACTGGCTCTGGCACAGTTCCATGCCCGCAGCAGCACTTATCTTTAGTCTACTGCTGCTTTGCAGAGAGACAGACCTCCAAAACGTAACCTGGGAGCAAGGATAACTGCAGGCTGCAACATACCAGCAAATATGCCGAAGTTGTTAGTGAGGTAACATTGAGGGAATTTGAGGAGAGAGGGAAAGGAAAGCCATAGAAAACAAGCAGCAAGAATGTACAGCATCCCTGGTCTTCTGCAAGGCATGCAGAGATGAAAGAAAAACACACCTCAGTTTGGACACAAAGGCGACAGATACTCACAGTCTCAGCCATAGAGTACTCGGAGTTCAGCTTCTTTGCCAACCCATAGTCTCCCAATTTAATCAGGTTTGCCTTGGTTAGAAAGATATTTAATGTCTTTATATCTCTGAAAGGAGAAAAAGAAATGCAGACACTCGGATATATTTCTGAAGGTCACAGTTTTCCACATGCTACTATACCTCCCCCCCTGTAAATGAGGTACTTGCTGCTCTGCCAGTCCTCTCTCATGCACACAGAGCTCTCCAAAGGCAATTTGACCACAAGTACGGGGGCAGTAACTGCAGTTATCCATGTCTGATCACATCCCCACACAAGCACAACACAGTCTAAAAACCTCAGGCTCCAGACACCTATGTAAAGGCCACAAATCAAAGATAGTTCTTTTCCCCCTCTCAGGCTCTTCTTGTATGAAGGTCATTGAGCAGGTCTTATTTTTCCTGGTTTTATAAATAGACCCAAGCCAGGAGTCGCTGAGCTCAGTAAAAACATAAATGTACGCATGAATATGTATGTATGCAAATATAAACATATACACAGAGGGTGTGAAACAGATGCCACTCTAGAACTCAAGCATAACATCCCCCTACCTTACACCTCAAGAACAACTCTATAATGTGACGTACTACACCCAGAAGATCAAAAGGTTGATGGCCACAAAAATGCTGAACTCCAAAACTTATTGAAAACACTTTCTCCCAGACAGAATAATGTATATGTAGTTTCACAGATCAATATAAGAGGCTGTAAATACAGAGAGGAAGCCCCCACAGTATGATACGTTTCCCATGGCCAATACTTCATAACACCCCCTTTTCCTAACGTACCATCAACAACTTCCCAGTGTAGATCAGGACAACATCAAGTAAAGCAGCACTTTGCATTCATCCACTTGGGGCATCGCAAAGTCCTGGGTCACTCTGACAATGTCTGCAGCAGAAGAAATCACTGCAAACATTTAAATAACTGTTCAATTCATTATTGTGGAAGGATTTGGGGCCACACATTCCTAGACTGTGAACCCTGCTGTGAAGATGGGCAACAGAGGTGGTAAGCAGCAAATCACTGCAAAGCAGGACAGACATGACATCTGCTTTAGGTCAAAAACTTAGGCACTACTTTGTTGAGTGTAGGGTACCAACCCTTCATTAGCAAGGCTTGTCAATTACCAAAGATTTAGAGTGACAGCAACCAGAATGCTATCCCACAGAAAACACCCTCACACAGCTATGCTCATTAGATAGAGAAGGATGCTGTGCAGCACACGATCCAACCACGCTGGAAACAGCTGTTTATGTGTGCGGTACTCCCCAGCACATCACAGCCTCCCTGAAGCACGCATAAGCCATGAAATTTACCCCTCCCAAACAGAAAAGGGTGACAGAAAAAGGTACTTAGCTACTAATTAAAATCTCAGAGTCAATGTCAGAATCACCACTACCAGCTAACAAGCTACATTACTTCCTTAAATAACTGGCTGAAGAAATGGGATTCAGCCAAACACAGGACAAATCTTTGCATGGGTTACATTACATCAACGCATCAATGCAAAGTCTTCGTCACTGTTAGCCTCCAGGAATTACAGAAGGAGGTAGGTCTTGGTTTGTAGCTATTAACTGTGGAGCGGGTAGGAAGTACCTTTGGTCTGTGGTAACTGTTCTTCCTACCCACTTTAGCAAACATCATTTATGTGTTATGGCAATAAAGGGCCAATTTACTTCCTTCCTACATGGATTAACTCTTTGTTCACAAAGCTCCAGCATCAAAGACAGTAATTCCATTTTCATATACAACATTTTTTGCACATTTATCACAAGGCGTTTTCCAGCCCAATAAAAATTCTTTACGGAAGTGATACTTAACACCTAGGCAGTCCAGCTACGCTTTGGAGAGGAGCTCAGCGCTTGCTTTAAACACACAAGCAAAGGCTACTCAAAGGAGTTCTGCACTCGCATCCACAAACCGCACTGGCTACCTTAGCTTTACTGCGTGCCACACTTACCTGTGAAGAATTCCTGCTCGATGAATGCAGCTCACAGCTGATGCAATTTGAAAGAGATACCAGAGTCCCTGTCCCACAGAGGGACAGCAAGAGGGCCTGACCATACCATTTAGATGCTCTTTCAGGAGTAGGAAAATATAGAATTTCCTGTTTTGGAAATCTCTGAAAAGATATTCCAAAAGGTAGATTGTTCTAGTGCTGTTCATAGTGTCTGTCCTGACAAGCGTCACAGAATTCAGTGAGTGAAAAGACTTAGGAATGACAGCTAATGACCACCTCAGGAAGACCTCAGGGAAGTTGGGCTCTCTGGAATATGATCTGTGATGATTTAGTATCTGTCATGAGCCGGAAGGCCTTAAAAGCCATTATATAAGATAAATAAGTGTATGTGGTGATAACAGACAGTAGAAAATAAGTTAAAAAAAAAAAACAACTAAAGAAAAATAAAAGAAAAAGGAACAAGAAAAAAATCTATGGTGAGACAGGTTCAAGGTAATTACTCACAAAAGAACCTACAAAACGGTTAAGAGGAGATCCAAAATGAGTACCAACCAGGAAGAAACAGAGAAAGAGGTTTTAAAGTTAAATGTTAGCCAATATGATAAGATGTCCAAAGTCAGTTGAGCACTCTCTTTCATTGTTTCTCCCTTGGAAGTTTATACTGCTTATAGACAGCCAAAAAGGAAAATAAACAGTTTCTGATAATCCATAAATGCTTGCAATATTCAACAGGAGAGGAAGGATGTCATGTCAGTCCCCAGATATACAGAGAAATTCCCCACCAGCACTATGGAAAAAATGTTGCATAAATCCTTAGATAACCAGACAGATCCCCAGAACGTTAGGCTAGCCCCACTGCTCCCTCAAACCAGTCCAAATTACCTCTTCTTCAAATAACTTGTCTTTCTGCCGCAGAATCTTATCGTAGAGGTTCCCTCCTGTAATTATAAGGGAGTGAGAAAGACAGAGAGGTTCATCTTAGTTAATGGCAGTAGTTACTCTGCTCAGGTACTATTGGGAATACTCAAATCCCCTAAGAGATCTGATGAATCACTACAGCTCTCCCTCAGCACTTTTCACTTAAACACGTCACGCATTCATAAAATTAAGCCCTTCTTCCATCTAAGAACTTCACTGGCATATCTAAGCTAAGCAGAGATGATTCTTTTTTACCACCACCATTTAATACTCTCTGAAAAGCGCATCAGTAAGATAGGCTAGCAGTCCCTACCTTTTTACCTGTAAGCGCTTCTTGGGTCATGTAAACATTTATAACCTGTACACAAAATCACAAGAGATTGTTCTCCTCAGCATTATATATAACTAAATAATACATTTAAAAAAAAAAAAAAAAAGAGAGAAAGAAAGCAATCGTAAGTTCAGAGTAGTCCCTGAAAGCACAAGTTACTGCCTTTCCCCACTTACTGCCCAGCTCTGACCTGCCTCTCCTTCATCTGCCCTGCCAGATACACCGATGCAGAATTCACAAAGTATTGACAACAGCAGCACCACCAACAGAAGCCTGAAATCAGCAGACTCTTCAGGCCACCTCACAATTTCAAGATGGCAGACTGAACATCAAGGAAAGCTAGAAGAAATTATGCTGAGAGCAGCAGGCAGTGAGGCTCCCTGCCAGATTAGCATCCTACCAGTAAATACCAAATCTCTGATCACATCCTGCTGCTATTCCATTTCCCAATTATCATATATCATGTCCTAATAGTAACGGAACACCAGGCCCTTTCCCATTCCCATGGGTATGGTGCAAGGCAGCTTTCTCCTGTATGATTTCCATGGGTCTATCAAGCTGAGATGTCCAAAGCAGATTGCAACAGCTCCTTTGCCTCCGTGAGGGACTTATTTTAGACTTCCACATTAGGAAGATTTTTCTGATAGTCTAATTAAGGTTCCCTTCACTTAATTTCTTCTCAGTCAACCTCTTAACATTTCTTTTTTCTGCCTTATATTCACATTTCCAAATTACCACTCTTCACATTCACAATTTAACCAAAGTATGCACTTCTGCCTCTTCTTATGAACCTCTTTCCTAGCGATTCAGACTGTGCAGGCTTTTAGTGAATTCTGTTCCCCACCTCTGATTTTTTGCCATTTTTTCTGCAGCCCTTCTGAACCAAAGAGCAGCATGACAAATGAGCAGCATCGCCAAAATCCTACACAAGAAGACAAATTAGCTCTTGACTCAGATAACCAATGCCTCTATGCACACATGCTAAAAAGAAAAACTAATCACAGAATCACAGAATGGCAAGGGTTGGAAGGGACCTCGGGAGATCACCTAGTCCAACCCCCCTGCTAAAGCAGGCTCTCCTATTGCATGTTACACAGGACTTCATCCAAGCGGGCTTTGAATATCTCCAGAGAAAGAGACTCCACAACCCCCCTGGGCAGCCTGTTCCAGTGCTCTGTCACCCTCAGAGTAAAGAAGTTTTTCCTCATATTCAACTGAAACCTCTTATGTCTCAGTTTGTACCCACTGCCTCTTGTCCTGTTGCTGGACACCACTGCAAACAGTCTGGCTCTGTCCTCGTGACTTCCACCCTTAAGATATTTGTTGATGAGGTCCCCTCTCAGTCTTCTCTTCTTCAGGCTGAACAAGCCCAACTCTCTCAGCCTTTCCTCGTAGGGGAGGTGCTCCAGTCCCTTTATCATCCTAGTTGCTCCCCTCTGGACTCTTTCTAGGAGTTCCTCATCTTTCTTGAACTGGGGAGCCCAGAACTAGACACAGTACTCAAGGTGATTACTTTCTTCTTTGTTTCGTCTAATCACATCTAACCTTCTGACACTCTCTCTTCAACAAATGTATTTTATAGGATATTTCTTCCCAAATCTATTTCAGATCTATTAATTGATGTCATTCCATGATTAATCCAAGTCTTATGGTACCATGATATATATACAGAACTATAGGCAAATAAGTCAATAACTTGGCTTCCTCCCCTGTAAAATGTGGACAATATTTACTCAAATTTGAAAGTCTTTCCTAGATCTCCAGAAGAGACATGCCAATTAAACAGTAAAAACTTTGGATTCTGAGGAGTGTCTGATAGCAACTAATCCAGCCTTACTTGAAAAAATTCTCACAAATTATTTTGGTCTTGTACACTGTAAAAAAAAGCCACAGAAACCACTATCAACACACTGGCAAAACCAATATCCATTAGTCTAAATGAGATTCCCTCTTTCTCATGTCCTCAGTTCTGTACCACTCAGACATACTCAGGCAATGCAGGTTATACACTCTTCTCTTGGTTATTGTCCCAAAGTAAAAAACCATTCAGAGACATTAACAAATACATACAGACATCAGTACCATGCAGCTTGTCTCTATGCCCTCCAATGAATTTATAACAGCCCTGAGCATGCAGTCTTTTCAAGGCAGCTAAATAACTCACAGAGAGTACTCCTAAAATAAATGGTGCAAAGAGCTAACATTCCCCTACTCTTGCACTGGACTCCACCCTGCATAAGAACAAAAAGCAGAGAAGCAAAACCAGCTGTGGCCAACCTGCCAACCAGGGTGGTTGATGCCCTTCAAAAACACTTTGCACAGCTCTGCTGTCCTCCCCAACCCGTCCCAGTGAAAGCAAACTGTCCAAGATGATAACTACATGATGATAACCTTGTCCACCAAAAAAGTTTCTGCTGATGAGCCAAGGCTTAACGTGACGCCCAAAACCACACACAGGATACCTAGCCAGGAAAGCTGTCCCACTCATCCAAATAGGAACCATACTGCAGTCCTAGGCAGGTGTCCTGTTCCAGCAGTATTAGCTGTATATGACCTCCTCTTCCAGCTGTATAAGAGCAGCTGCAACTCAGACACTTGTATCAAATCCTTCTCCTCATATCAAAACCTCTCCATCCCAGCCGGGACCATTTCCCTTGCAAACTCCAAACAATACCATCTGATTTACTCTTGGATGGAATTTTAGTTTTCCCTGCCACCAGAAGGACCAGATTTTTTTTTTTTCTTTTATTAGTAAACATAGAAGCTGACCGTATAAGGCAGGAAAAAGTCCTGATTGTGGTGTGCCAGGAGACTTTTAAGCTTTGATTTATAATTGCCAAATGGAAGGGTCTATTTAAGCGACACTACTGAAAAAGAGCCCCACTCTGTACTGGCAGAGAGGCCCAAATATCCTCATGGTCTTCTCCCACTGTCCTCCTAAAAGAGCACAGCAAGGCACATTAGAAGTGCACATTACCGATAAACCCACTTATTCCACTGCACCAGCTACTCAGAAGACTCAGGAAATCATCTACTGCCTGAACTGCCTGCACTAACTACTGGGCTTCTTTCTTTGGCACCCGAGACACAAACCAAACAGAAGGGTTCGCAATCTCTGCTTCAGGAGCTATGCAGCAGAATTCACCTCCACTCCCCCGCTCCCCAGAGGACGCCCCAGGAATCCCCCCTGCAGGTTCTGCAGGAGGGTGACTCAGCGACACGGCAGCCGCCCATTTGGATCTCACCATTACAGTACTCCAGCTCAATCAGCAGCGTGGTGTTATCCATGAAGTGATTGTAGTACGCGATGATGTTCTCATGCTGCAACAGGGCAAGGATAACGATTTCGTTCAAAGCATCAGGACGCTCCTCGGGTCAGGTCCACCTCCTTCCACACTACAAGTGAGTCATCCTGAAACACAAAAACATCTTTTAATTAAAAACACACTACCGTGAAGAGAACAATATGTGCCATTATAGCAGGAAATTAAAATTTCAGGAGAGGTAAAAAGACTTCCCTGCCTCTTACAGATTTCAGACAAAGGTTCTTCACAACAGTAAGTTTTGAGGTTTTCTGTTTGTCACTAGGAATAGCGGTGGCCTGAAGCTATCTTTCTAGCTGGCCAGCACTCACTTTGGAAAAAAACCCAACCAACCAAAAAAAAAAACCCCAAACAACGAAAAAACCAAAACCACATACTACAAGGTTTCCAGGAAAGACACAGGATTTGTTTTGTTTCAATAAAGACTAAACACACTGCAGCTCAATAAAGGAATAACAGTCTATTTCCAACCCCGTAACTGCAGGATACTGTACAAGACCAAATACTCAGGTATTCCTAAAAAAAAAAACCTCAAACCCAACCAAAAAAAAAAACCCATCAAGGAAACAAGAACAAATTTAGTTTGCCCTTGTTAGGCCCACCCACGTTGTCAGACACACTAGGCGTGACCTGTTAGGTGAACAACGTTCACTTACAACCATTCAAGCCGTGACACCTCAGGGTGCCTTCCCCCCAAAAAACCTGAAGAACTTCCCTTGGGAACCAAGTCAAGCGCTTTTCTTTGATGGCCGCTAAAAAGCACAACCACAATTGCACCAGATGGGGTTAAACGACTCGGGAGCAATGGGAGGACTGGCTTTTCAGCCAGTTTCCCCTGATTACACTGAGATGCTGATCACACGAGAGTGATCTATATGAGATGCCCCCACGTCCTCTGTGACCGGAATAAAACACAGAAAAACGAGGAATCTATTAGCACTGGAAAGGGCCTCCACATCTCCCTGTGAAACCTCAGGGGACCGAGAGACTGGCGGCACTCAAACATGCCGAAACCCAAACCCTCTGCTCCTCGACACCAAGGGCCGAAGTCGTCGCTTCGCGCCGGGCTGTTCCCGCCGGGGGCTGTCACCCGGGGGGCTGTCCGTCC